CCTTTTCACACAGGGTTCAGACTTTTCAGAAAGACTTTCGTCCTGACCGCTTTCGAGGATTTCGTGCAGCCTGCTGTGCAGCCAGGTCACTCCGCATGCGAGGATTGCACGCGGAGATCACTTTTAAGATAATGTAGCATGAAGTTCCGCCTTCCACGCCCGCTCTTCGTACAGGTGCCTTCACTGCGCTTTGCAGCTTTGTTGGAGCAGTCGCGGCCCTGGTCTGGATGATTGGCCATGAAGCTGAAATCTTCACGCGCTTCCTGAAAATGCTTCTGCTGAACAGCCGGAAATCAAACCCCGCCAAATCATTTATATATATATATATACATATACATATATATATATATATATACATACATACATATATATATATATATATATATATATATGTATGTATATAATCGCCAGACGACCGCAGGCTAAATGACACCAAGGCTCCAGCCCGAAACCCCAAAACTACCCATCAAAAGCTCAAACACTTGTCCGTGCCGTCTGAGGCTGGTCCTGCTTGCCCCGAGGTGCGTTGCGTCTCTGTCACTGGCAGCTTTTCTGCCTCAATTTAAGATTTTTTTTTTCCTAACAACCTCAGCGGAGCTGTAGCGCTAGGCCTAAGCCTTGCAAAGTCCTTGCCAACGTCGGCTAAAGTTTAGCGGGCCTCGCCTACGGCAGCGCCTACAGCACCACCGTCGCCCGTCGCCTCAATTTAAGATTTAGGGTTTAGGGTTTGCGTGGCGTGCACAAATGATGGGAGAGGCCTGTTGCGAAGAATTGTTGGGTTTGAGGTTTGGGAATTGCTTTGTATGGTTTTGGCGGCTCCTCTGCCGGGCTTGAAACTCTTCATAGGGACATCCGTGTTTCGAGGCTCCGAGTACCCTTATAGATCCCTGGTAGTAATCCTTACTGAGGCCAACTTTAAAGGAATTGTAGGAACCCTATACGCCCCTTTTATCACCGGGCAGGTACGAGTTCCAACTGCCGCCCTACTTCTTGAACAACGCGAGGGCGCTCGGCTGTTTGGAAGGCCGCTAGGGCAGAGCTTTAAAAGGGTCCTAAATAAGGGTATTGTAGGGGCTTAAATAAGGGGTATGATAGGGGCCTGCCTACATAAGGGTATGATAGGGGCCTAAATAAGGGTATTACAGGGCCCTAAACGGCTTCTTATTATAATTCACATGGTAGTATAAAATAATCGGGCCCCAAAACCCTATTCTACTTATAGGGCCCATATTAGCATTAGTGTCCAAGCGCTGTTCACGAACAAGGACAAGTGCCCTTGTACGTTGCAAAGCAAGGCGACGTCTGAGTCCCTGTGGCAGAATGCCGACGAAGTTGTGCAGCGGGTGTAGCTCACCAGGAATGGCACGAACCGTGGACCCGGAATTCAACATCCTGCAGAAGGCACACCTCAAGAGATTGATTGTTCTGCAGAGCGGCAGTATCTCCGTTGTTGTGCCCAAGATGCTCAGAAAATATTGTTGCAACATCCTGTACATGTCACAGTCTTGCCACACTGCTGAGACATGTTTTTGTTGCCCTGCGTTACAATACATACCCATCTCCGTGGCTGACATTTTTTCCCCAAAACAAGGCCTGCACAAAATCACTGACGACGTGCCGTTCCATGAAAGGTGTACCCCTTCGCGCTGAACACGCTCTTGTCACCTGGCTGATCTGCGATCATGGTCGTGCCGTGCGAGGTGGCCAGGTAGTCGGAGTAGACCGGCACTTGATGGATTGTACCCAACTCGCGGTGTGTGTTTGGCGTTACTGTAATCACCAGAAGTGGAACTATCCTTGGCTCATGTGAGACGATTTCCACATGACATTTCGCCTTGCAAGAACATCTGGCACAGTGTCCTGAGGTCGAACCCATCGGACTCGCCAGTACTCCGCGAGACGCTGCCCCGGCCCCATCTTTCGATGACTGCCATGGCAGTCATTTTGAAATCGAAGAGAGTCGTGTACAGATAATCCTGCAGTTGCCAACATCAGCAGCAAGATTAGCAAAGGCGCAAGCTCTGCAGCGACAGCAGCGGGCGGCTTTCGCTCCGCCGCGCCAGCTCGCATCTCGACTTCAGCTTCGGGACAGCAGGGGATGCTTTCCATGAGTTCTGGAGGGTGCGGCCTCGGCTTGACTTATTCGGGGTCGCTTCCCCAGATCCGCCAAGTTCAGTGGGGTTGGATCTGGGCTTGTCGCGACTCCTTCACTCTTGCACCCATCCGAAGACCCTGGAGCTCAAAAAACCCAAAAGTCCGGAGGTCAGAAGCGTAATGTGGAAGCCTAAATTCCCAACATTCTTCCTCAGGGGACTCCTCTTGGTACAGTCAAATCCCGCGTAGACTTTTCCGCAAAGCCCCGAAGGCCCTATTCTAGTTATGAGAAGGCACCTTTTTGAGGAGGCTCCCAGGACTTGGGAGGAGGCGAATCCAAGGCTCACAGTACGCAGTACTTTGTCCACTGGTGCTCATGGAAAGATCCTCTCAGGAGAGCCTCGTGACGATCACAACTTATAGTCGAGCTACTGTGTAAACCACCGTGCTGCCATCATTAAATAGCACCAGTGCCAGAATCATCGTACTTAACATATCCTCAGGGTCGTCCAACCTCAGGGATCCAACTCTGCACCACGGTTTAGTATTCGCTGCCAGCTATATGAATCCAAGGTTGGTGGACTCTGCGGCGGCGCAGCTGCACGAGGGGATTCTGTCATATCATGTGCTTGGTTTTGCAGGTCCTGGGCGGCTAGGTTGCCTTTCACAGCCTGTCAAGTTCGTAGCATTCATCGACAGTTTGTGTTTCAGAGGCTTCGGTCGTTCGACTTTCATCGCGTCGTGTGGGATGTCGGGGGCATCCCGAGCATCGCGGGAACCGATCAGAAAATTGTGTAGCTCCATTTTTTGGCCAGCTTTCTATTTAAAGGATCCTTTCCAATTCATAGAAACTCCTCTTGATTGATCATGGTCGCGCATGTTCGCGTCCTGGGCAGGCCCTCAGGTTTGATATGTCTTTGTTGCAATTTGCTGCCTCTGCCAGCATGGGTTTGTCTTTGTCTGTGTGGGTTGAATTTGAAGCAGGACTTGTTCTGTACTGTAAACGAAATGCGATAATGCAGAGATGGAATGGCTGGAGAGAGAGGAGAGAGAGAGAGAGAGAGAGAGAGAGAGAGAGAGAGAGAGAGAGAGAGAGAGAGAGAGAGAGAGAGAGAGAGAGAGAGAGAGAGAGAGAGAGAGAGAGAGAGAGTGTGTGAGGGACAGACGCGGCAGGCGAGGTTGACCGGAACTCGCTGGCGAAAAGTGGCGGGAAGCTTAGTACTAGTAGTGGCCCGCTCCGACCCTCTTGCTGCACTGTCGGTCCTGCAGGGGAAGAACGATTACCTTTGCTGGGACCCAACCCCAAACTTCTCCCGGAACCGAAGCCGTTGAAACATCACCAGAAACGACGGTTTATTAAAGGATCGTAAACCCTCAACCCTGAACCACTAAACCCCTAAACCCTGAATTTTTCCCTCAGGTTGCAGACAGCCTGCGCAGCCGCGGGGGCCGACGATTCTTCAGGGCGCTGCTGCGAAGCGAAGCAGACATTGGACCGCAAGAAGTCCTGCTGGTCCATTGGCGTGACTGTTCAGGGTTTAGAGTCGAGAGTTAATGATCGAGTGATCGTGTTGAGCTGGACATAATTGGAGTACTGGTTAGAGGCGATCGAGACAGATATCACTGATTCCAGGAACGTCAACAGTCTCGAGGAGTATTGTGAGGTTGCAGCACGTGGACATATTGAGTTTGGTGCAAGATTATAATCGTGACAACGGTTTTTATGAGGGGACGCGACAGAAAAAGTATCCATCGGAGACTAGGGCTACCGCGGGGGTCCATGTCCTCTGCATTCACGAGGTCTCTCTACCGTTCCGGGGTTGCGGGCTTCACTCAGCATGAGCCCTAAAGTCTGCATGGTATACGGTGGATTGCGGAGCAACCGCTGAAGGTACACAGCTTCTAGCCCGCGAGCCCTGAACCCAGAAAGGATCTAGCTTTGCATCGGTCTGAGGCTAAGCTCTGCGGCAGGATCCTCGAAGGCTGCGGACTTGTTGGCCCTTCTGGCTACAATAGCCATGTTGAGAGAATGATGAAACATGAGCAGCTGCTCAAGACCATTGCTGTGTTTTTTATATTGCCACTGCTGCTACGGTCCCATGTCCAACATGCCTTCCTCGTTTGCTCCTCTTCTTTCTTGGCCAGGCAAAGCACCTTCTGGAGAGTCGCAGCAGCGCCGACAAAAAAGTCGCGACAGAGCTTCCGGATTCAGCTGGAAAACCTAGTATCATTGATGGTGTCTGAGCATTTGAAGGCTCAGAAAGCGCTACCTACTCATTACTCTACTAGAGCGCCTGTGTGCCGTAAACCAGCATGCACACTCAAACCGGGTGGCCAAGGTTCGAGGGCTCTGGGGACAGCGCAACAGAAAGAAGTCCTAGCCGCTAGGAAGCCAACCATGAAAGCACACGTAACTACTGCTCGCTAAGTCTTCTGGCAAAGGAATTTTCATAAGGACCCTTAGGGAGGACCTAATAAGGCCTATTTAAGGAAGTATAGTCCCCTACCCCCCTCCCCCTTACCCCCCTAAAGGTCCCTATGAACTTTTCCAGGCTTCAGAACCGCCAGGGCAACTTGTCCACCAGCCGAAAGTTGCTGGTCCTTGTCCCAAAGAACCTGGGGGACCCTAATATAGGATCCTAAATAGTAGGATCCTTATTGGAAGGACCCCAAAGAAGGTATCCCCTAATTTTCGGGAACTCCCACCGGTTCCTGGATCTCAGCTGCTTCCTGTCCGCTAAGAGCCTCCGCTCCACAATCCTGCAGCTGCAGGAAGCCCGACAATCCTCGCAGCCAGAGAACCATTGAGACCTTGAGCATATGTCTGTTGGAAGCCCGGAACAGTTGGTTTTTGTTGCTAGAAGTTCTGCCAAAACGGCTACCGACTACTAGTTCCTTGTCGCCAGGTACAGAGGCTCCGGGCGACGCGCTAGGCCTATGGAACTGTCTGAGTTTAGTTCCGCGGCTTCTTAGGGAAGCTGAGGTAGCTTAGGACCTTAGGAAGTGTAGAGCCTCAGGGATTTTAGGCTACTATAACGTACTATAATATACTATAATACACTGTAACATACTATAATATTCTGTAATACACAGGCTGAGGCGGTCTGCAGAAGATGAGGACTTCAGGTTCTTGTCGGAAGGGTGCTTCTGTTGGGGTCACTTTGTCGCCGGCGGGACGCTTACGCGTGCGGATCAAGCATGAACTGACTTTTGATTTTTGGAGGTGAGTATTCGGTGAGCATGCTTTCGAGCTTGAGGCTCTGAAGAGCCTACATCTTGCACACCAAACCCTTGGCCGAACCAGCAATCCAGGATACATTCCTGGCCCTGTGCCCCAAGCATGGCAAGGAATCAACAAGCTGGCAGGTGAAGAGTTTGTTTCCGTGATTGCAACTGCCTTGGACTCCGCGTTTCGCCGGGTCGAGGCCGATACCGCTGTGTCGACACGAATCGTCCAGTGCACGCAGAAGGATACTGCCATCAACGTGCAAGTATCCCCCTATCTGCCTGCCTGCCTGCCTACTGACCTGCCAGTCTACAGCTACTTCTGGACATATATATATATATATGTATATACACATACACATAAGTTGCTCGGGTTAGAGGGATCACCCACTACTGTCTCTCGTGCGTCCTGAAATCGCACTTAGAGAGCAACACACATGGCTTGTGATTGCACGTTAGGGTTGGGAGTTTGGGAATTCCCGCGGAAGGCGAACATTGGCAAGACTTCTGCCACGGCAGAACGCAAGCTAGTTCTTGTAATCGCTTGTGAATCATAAACGGCTTACTAAACGCAAAGATACAGTCGTGTTGATGCACTTCTCAGCTTCTCGGCTTCAGGGGTCGCTTACATTGGCTGTTCTCAGGACGGTCCTCGTCTTACCTCAAGCAGTTTGGAGGATCAAAGCAAAGACCCCCCTGTATGGGAACTTTGGCTTCCGTCAAATCCATGAATACATTCCGCGCAGTTTTGTGTTCATGGTGTAACGTCTTTTGTGTTTCAGCCTTTCCCACAGCGATGCCGCAAGCTGCACTGTCGCAGCTGTTTCGAGCTCTTGGCACGGCCGCGGGGCGTGTTTGCAACTGGGTGCATTTCAAGCAAGATGTTCCTGGGCATCCTCAACCAATGATGTGAAACGTATAATATACTACAACATACCAAAAAGCATACTATTACATACTATTAATAATAATAATCGTAATAATAATCATATACTATAATAGTATACTGTAATAATAATATACTATAATACAGGAGCCAGAGGTGAGGAGGCCTCCAGAGCCCAAGTCGGTGTCCTGTTGGGTCTGGGATTTCGGTTTTAAACACGATTTGGGGCTGTAGCCCAAGCAGTGCAAAGCCTTCTTGGGGATGTTACTTGTACATGGATCCAGACTACGATTTCGAGGATTGTCCGGAAGGGCGCCTCAAAATTCGGGCCTGTTGCGCAAGCAAATCGGGTGACCTCTCAGAAAGGTGTGACCTCTCAGACCGAGCCGGCTAACCCGGTTCTTGTGTGGGACCCTGAATGATGCCATCATCGTTGTAAACACTCTTATGGGCAGATCTAGCACAGCTTGGCCAATCGATCGTCGTATGCTGATGGCTGTCATACCGGTTCTAACTTCTATTATCAGTGGTTTGTTTCAAGAGTCCCACCGTTAGTCAGTTACATATGATTATTCTCACAACCCAGCCAAAGGCAACTTGCGCATTGCTTCTGCTTCTGCGCTGCCACTCGACGTGGAGCATCGCTTGACCCAAGGCACGTGACTGCCCGTGTTTTCTTGCGAAGTTTCCCTACTAACTTAATAGCTTAACGAATACAAGTGAGAAGTCGGTTCAGGGTCCGTAGTAACTGTACTTTAAGGGGTACGTAGCTGAAGGCTGTCGTAAACTGTCTGGTGGGAAGCAGGATGGGAAGATATGCAGGTACCCGGGCTCTGTCCTGCCATGCATAGGTGACGTTATGTGACGTTAGTGTAAATGTGATGGAGCTCCAGGTCAGGTGAATACCTGTAGTTGTATATCCTGTCTTTCCGGCTGTGCCATACAACATATATAGAGTGATGTCGAGCAAGTCGGGAATGATGGCCGTAGACGCGGGTTTTCAAGCAGGAAGTTCGACACCTCACATCACTGCATGCAACGCTTCAAACCTTAGCATGGTAGTGCTAGAGTGCTAGAGTCAACAGTCTTGATATCAATATGCTGCGGGCCGCAGGCCAGCCGACGCGAATCGAGGGCGAACATCCGAGGTGGGTGACGCTGCCTTCGCCTCGTAATTGGGGATTTGGCCCTGTGAACTGCACTTTCGCAGCCAGCTCTGTGGTGTAGTGAAATTGGGAGGATGAGGCTGGTGCCGTGATTAAATGTGAAGCGGCTTCAGGACGCTCTACACGGTCTCGATCGGTGAGGCGCTGTTTGTCGCGGGAAGATTTCGGGAAAACTCAGTGTAGCCAGTGATAGTAAGACATTATTATGTGCTGTATGATGCAGTATGAGTGTTGACGAACATCTGTGCTCAGGTTGTTTCCGTGTGCTTTAGCCTTCTTCAGCTATGTCCAGTCCTAATCCATCACATGTAGAATTCTTGGCAGGGATAGGCTATGGTCAATGCTTAGAGACACAGCCGCAGATCAGGTAAACGCAATGATTTCTTATCCGTCTGTTGTGAGGAGATCTGTGCTGGCCTGTATTTCTAAACTGCACCGTGGCATCGCTCACTGCCCAGTTGAAATGCAAGCCGATAAAGCTCCTCAACCATCTGGCAACTTGAGCAGCCGGCCCAGATCCATCAGAGAGGCCATGTCTTGCGGAGACCAGTCCATCGACGAGGGGAGCGAAGCTGCATGCCTGCAGTTGCCTCGAACATCATGAAGCTAGGCTGCTTGGGACCCTCGGCTGGGGAGGCTTGAGCAGAGACGGGACTTTGCGTTTCTGCAAGAAGCCTTCTGCCAAGGTCCCTTGGCATGCGCACGAAGCCAGTGAGGAAGTTCTGCGCTGCCTGGCGGGCACTGGCACGATCTACTGCGGAGACGTGGTGAAGGATTCCTGACGCGACCATCCCTCTTCGTGTACACGTGCTGTCTCGCGCTTCAGGACTTCCTTCCTGGTGTTACGGTGTCCTTGCCTCACAGAGTCTTTGCGAGAGTTGTTCTGCGCTGATACCTGACCCTAAACCCTAAACCCCTAAACCCTAAACCCACAGGCTGGTTCCCAAGCAGACGCCACATCGAATCGTCAACTGCTCCCGGTCCGAAAAGCTCCGCGGCCTCTACAGGCGAAGGCTAAGCATGCTCAAAGCTTCAGAGTCACCAAGTTCGTTGCCCTATACACCCCAATTTCTTGGTAGAGTTGCTTGATCGGTGAGAGAAGTCTACCATCTTACTCTGAACCTTGTCGTGCAAAACGGCAAAACCTTAGGCTGTGGCTTTCGTGGACGCTCTCCCCACCACAGTCCACGAAGCAGTTCCAGGCCTGGACTGTTGCGCATCACAGCTTGCTGGTCCTGGTGCTGTCTTCTGTTCACCAGCATTACAATGGTTTCGCATTAATTCAATGCCACCAGTGCAGAGCATCTGTTCCCAATCCATGATGTCCGCACCAGCACTGGGGCTCGCCTAGAAGGCCTAGGCATGCACCCCCATCTTGTGCAAAGTGTGTGTGGGCATTGCAGCCTAGCAAGCCATGCTTTCTGAAGACGATCGAAATTTTGTGGTGCAAGGCATTCTAAACATCAGGATGCGAAAGCGCCGCGAAGCGCAAGACATGGGCTAAACTGTTGTAGCTTTGAGGATTACTTTTCCGCTTTGCCCTGAAAGCCGTGCAGGAGCTCATGTTTCAAGCGCCGCATAGGTCTGGCAATCATCAAGGCAATCGCAGCGCCAGCACCAACTGCGCCAGCAGCAGAAGCAGCAGCCAGAGCCACCTGCATCGGGCATCGTCGTCGTCGTCCTCGTGGTCTTTGCTTCGTGTGAGGCCGGGGAAAATCGAGTTCAGGCTGGCTGAGGACGGGTGAGTGCCAAATGCAACGATTTGGCGTGGAACCTTAATGTTCAGAATCCGTAGCACCGGCATCTGCTATGAGATGATCTGATATGAGATGATGGCTGAAGACACCATAAGCTACGGACTCTCGGCTGCAGGAGAAGCCGCGGCTTTCCGGCAACACCTTGCACAGAAGCTGGCGAAGAGCCTTGTACAGCACGTGCACTTGGAAAGTTTGGGTGTCCAATGCACTATGCATGGTCACCGTTCCCGGTTAACCTTTCCGTCTGCACCTGGCCGAAGGACTGATGAAGGTGATTCGGGTTCTTTTGCAGGCTGTATGTTGCCTGACAGCAGGCGAGTTGTGAGCGCAGAGCAGTAGAGCAACTCTGCTGTCACAACTCACCATCGGCGTTAGCAAAAATCTCGTCAACCGCAGCAGAATGACCTCCTATGCCTGGCATGTCTTTTCGCAACAACCGTCCAGGGAGATGCCCCTGACTGTGACATTTCAGGAGCTGCCCTAACAGACGACGGCATGTGCATCGAAGTTCTTGAAGTTTGCTGGTCAATCTTTTCGGGTAGATGTTCATGAATCCCACAAATGGTGGTTAGTTGAGCTGAAATCTTCATGTCCACTGTGATGCTTCACATTTTTGATTTGGCATTGGCAAACGGCTTTGGAAAGAAGGTCTTGTTCCGGGAGAAGGGAATACCGCATCAGCTGAATTACGTTGCGACTCTAGAGAGAGGCTAATGACGAGGGAGGGTTAAGTTTGTTGGGGTTGGCGGACGGGTTTGGTCATCTTGAAGTATGAGTGTCTGTAGAGCACCAACAAGTCTTCAAGCGTGATTTCAAGGCTTTGCTTGAACAACGTCGGGCTGATCGGCAGAGCCTCCTCATGACACTCCGGGCTTTGTCAGGCACAGATCCCATCACTGCTGCTACGGTCCGGGACTGAGTTGCAGCAGCTCGAAGCCTCAAATCAAAGACACTTCTACTTCTACAACTAAACATGTCGGACGTCTTGCGCTGCGTGATGGGCGCTTCCGCGCGTTCCAGGTATGACAGATCGCGAAGTGGATCTGCATGGCTCTACATGTGCAGATGACCAAAACCCCAAACCCTAAGCCGGCTCAAGCACTTGGGGGTTCAGGTAGAACCGCCCTTCAAAACTCATTAGCATGGCGGACTTCAAGTTGAAGGTGGATGAATCCAACAAGGCAACGGAGCTGCCCCTGCTCCGCATCTGCGGCACTGTTCAGCAGAATCCACATATGCGAGCGTTCTGGGGAAGCGTCTTTTCCTTTTTCCTCGCCTTCTTGGGTTGGTTCGCCCTTGCCCCGTTGGGGCTGGAGGTGGCCACCAGCATCAATATGTGTGAGAACCAGAAGTTCCCACCCGCCGAGAATCCATTGCGTCCGGCCTATCTGAAGTACAAAAGCCTGAAGACAGGTCTGGAGTACTGCCAGTACGGCAAGGTCAAGGATGGTGATGTCATCACGGACTGTGCAGCAGTTCCAGCTGATGTCATGAGCCGTGCCACTGCGACTGCTGAAGAGAAGAGCCCGTATGCGCCTTCAGTCCTGGCCAAATATCTGAAGTACAAAAGCCTGAAGACAGGTCTGGAGTACTGCCAGTACGGCAAGGTCAAGGATGGTGATGTCATCACGGACTGTGCAGCAGTTCCAGCTGATGTCATGAGCCGTGCCACTGCGACTGCTGAAGAGAAGAGCCCGTATGCGCCTTCAGTCCTGGCCAAATATCTGAAGTACAAAAGCCTGAAGACAGGTCTGGAGTACTGCCAGTACGGCAAGGTCAAGGATGGTGATGTCATCACGGACTGTGCAGCAGTTCCAGCTGATGTCATGAGCCGTGCCACTGCGACTGCTGAAGAGAAGAGCCCGTATGCGCCTTCAGTCCTGGCCAAATATCTGAAGTACAAAAGCCTGAAGACAGGTCTGGAGTACTGCCAGTACGGCAAGGTCAAGGATGGTGATGTCATCACGGACTGTGCAGCAGTTCCAGCTGATGTCATGAGCAGTGCCACTGCGACTGCTGAAGAGAAGAGCCCGTATGCGCCTTCAGTCCTGGCCAAATATCTGAAGTACAAAAGCCTGAAGACAGGTCTGGAGTACTGCCAGTACGGCAAGGTCAAGGATGGTGATGTCATCACTGTGCAGCAGTTCCAGCTGATGTCATGAGCAGTGCCACTGCGACTGCTGAAGAGAAGAGCCCGTATGCGCCTTCAGTCCTGGCCAAATATCTGAAGTACAAAAGCCTGAAGACAGGTCTGGAGTACTGCCAGTACGGCAAGGTCAAGGATGGTGATGTCATCACTGTGCAGCAGTTCCAGCTGATGTCATGAGCAGTGCCACTGCGACTGCTGAAGAGAAGAGCCCGTATGCGCCTTCAGTCCTGGCCAAATATCTGAAGTACAAAAGCCTGAAGACAGGTCTGGAGTACTGCCAGTACGGCAAGGTCAAGGATGGTGATGTCATCACGGACTGTGCAGCAGTTCCAGCTGATGTCATGAGCAGTGCCACTGCGACTGCTGAAGAGAAGAGCCCGTATGCGCCTTCAGTCCTGGCCAAATATCTGAAGTACAAAAGCCTGAAGACAGGTCTGGAGTACTGCCAGTACGGCAAGGTCAAGGATGGTGATGTCATCACGGACTGTGCAGCAGTTCCAGCTGATGTCATGAGCAGTGCCACTGCGACTGCTGAAGAGAAGAGCCCGTATGCGCCTTCAGTCCTGGCCAAATATCTGAAGTGCCTGAAGACAGGTCAGTACTGCCAGTACGGCAAGCAAGCTCACGAAGCAGTTCCATGGTGCCACTGCGACTGCTGAAGAAGCCTTCAGTCCTGGAAGTACAAAAGCCTGTGGAGTACTGCCAGTACGGCAAGGTCAAGGATGGTGATGTCATCACTGTGCAGCAGTTCCAGCTGATGTCATGAGCAGTGCCACTGCGACTGCTGAAGAGAAGAGCCCGTATGCGCCTTCAGTCCTGGCCAAATATCTGAAGTACAAAAGCCTGAAGACAGGTCTGGAGTACTGCCAGTACGGCAAGGTCAAGGATGGTGATGTCATCACTGTGCAGCAGTTCCAGCTGATGTCATGAGCAGTGCCACTGCGACTGCTGAAGAGAAGAGCCCGTATGCGCCTTCAGTCCTGGCCAAATATCTGAAGTACAAAAGCCTGAAGACAGGTCTGGAGTACTGCCAGTACGGCAAGGTCAAGGATGGTGATGTCATCACTGTGCAGCAGTTCCAGCTGATGTCATGAGCAGTGCCACTGCGACTGCTGAAGAGAAGAGCCCGTATGCGCCTTCAGTCCTGGCCAAATATCTGAAGTACAAAAGCCTGAAGACAGGTCTGGAGTACTGCCAGTACGGCAAGGTCAAGGATGGTGATGTCATCACGGACTGTGCAGCAGTTCCAGCTGATGTCATGAGCAGTGCCACTGCGACTGCTGAAGAGAAGAGCCCGTATGCGCCTTCAGTCCTGGCCAAATATCTGAAGTACAAAAGCCTGAAGACAGGTCTGGGGTACTGCCAGTACGGCAAGGTCAAGGATGGTGATGTCATCACGGACTGTGCAGCAGTTCCAGCTGATGTCATGAGCAGTGCCACTGCGACTGCTGAAGAGAAGAGCCCGTATGCGCCTTCAGTCCTGGCCAAATATCTGAAGTACAAAAGCCTGAAGACAGGTCTGGAGTACTGCCAGTACGGCAAGGTCAAGGATGGTGATGTCATCACGGACTGTGCAGCAGTTCCAGCTGATGTCATGAGCAGTGCCACTGCGACTGCTGAAGAGAAGAGACCGTATGCGCCTTCAGTCCTGGCCAAATATCTGAAGTACAAAAGCCTGAAGACAGGTCTGGAGTACTGCCAGTACGGCAAGGTCAAGGATGGTGATGTCATCACGTACTGTGCAGCAGTTCCAGCTGATGTCATGAGCCGTGCCACTGCGACTGCTGAAGAGAAGAGCCCGTATGCGCCTTCAGTCCTGGCCAAATATCTGAAGTACAAAAGCCTGAAAACAGGTCTGGAGTACTGCCAGTACGGCAAGGTCAAGGATGGTGATGTCATCACGGACTGTGCAGCAGTTCCAGCTGATGTCATGAGCCGTGCCACTGCGACTGCTGAAGAGAAGAGCCCGTATGCGCCTTCAGTCCTGGCCAAATATCTGAAGTACAAAAGCCTGAAAACAGGTCTGGAGTACTGCCAGTACGGCAAGGTCAAGGATGGTGATGTCATCACGGACTGTGCAGCAGTTCCAGCTGATGTCATGAGCAGTGCCACTGCGACTGCTGAAGAGAAGAGCCCGTATGCGCCTTCAGTCCTGGCCAAATATCTGAAGTACAAAAGCCTGAAGACAGGTCTGGAGTACTGCCAGTACGGCAAGGTCAAGGATGGTGATGTCATCACTGTGCAGCAGTTCCAGCTGATGTCATGAGCAGTGCCACTGCGACTGCTGAAGAGAAGAGCCCGTATGCGCCTTCAGTCCTGGCCAAATATCTGAAGTACAAAAGCCTGAAGACAGGTCTGGAGTACTGCCAGTACGGCAAGGTCAAGGATGGTGATGTCATCACTGTGCAGCAGTTCCAGCTGATGTCATGAGCAGTGCCACTGCGACTGCTGAAGAGAAGAGCCCGTATGCGCCTTCAGTCCTGGCCAAATATCTGAAGTACAAAAGCCTGAAGACAGGTCTGGAGTACTGCCAGTACGGCAAGGTCAAGGATGGTGATGTCATCACGGACTGTGCAGCAGTTCCAGCTGATGTCATGAGCAGTGCCACTGCGACTGCTGAAGAGAAGAGCCCGTATGCGCCTTCAGTCCTGGCCAAATGTGTGTGCACCACAGGAACTGAGTGCAACGGCATGATTGCTAATGCAGGCGTTGCCGCTGTTGCTTCCACCATCTTCGTTCGAATCGCTCTGGGCACCCTCCTGGAGCGCTTCGGTCCAGTGAATGTGCAAGCCAGCCTGCTCACATTTCTCGAGTACTACCTCCTCGTGGTGATCTGGGGCGGCCTCATGGAGGCCGTGCAAAAGGTGCTCCGAATCTTGCTCTGTATGGGGCAAGCCGTTATCGCGTGCAACTTGGCACTTAGGTTTCTTTGGACCTGTGTGATCAAGGTATTTAGGAATGAACTGCTGTTGTTCGATTCCTCGAACCGTGGGCCTAATACCCTGCCAATTAAACAACGTAGAATGCATTCAACGCGGGCTTTCCTGCGTGAGGCCTTCTGCACCCACGCAAATGTCAATCCAGATTCGTGCTGCTATGTCTTGGCAGCATTGCGAATTAGGAAACGTCGATACGCGCAGTCTTGTGGAGCCATACCTAGAGATCCTGGCGTGTTGGTGATAATTAGAAAGCGTTCTTGCAAACAGCCCGTGCACACATGTGACCGTGGGTGGTGCCGTGGAGGTGCTCCCACCAGTGAGCATAGGCAGGAGAATGGAGGGAATGCTGACGCATCCCTCGCAAAGGCTTTGATGCAAACATTGCAACAGTTCCAGGTGGGATGCCAGCAAGCAAGCCCACCGGCCGTTCATGACAATCAGGAGTGGCAACAATCTCGACGAAGACGTCGCAGAAATGGCAAGCCTACCCCTGAACCCCCGATTCCCAATCCCCCGAAGCAGTCCCTTGCTGAACAACTCATACTTCAATTGCAAAACGCCATCATTCAGAAATGGAGTGATCAGCGTGTTGTGTCAGCCGTTACCCAGGCCATTAAGCCCTATTGCGAGGATTCGCATGCCGATGTGCAAGCCCCTCCGCAAGTCAGGCCGTCTTCACAACCACCACGCGGCCACACGATGGTCCGCATCAGCCCTCCCGAGGAGGAGTCCCGCCCTAAGGAGCCCGACCCAACCCCGGTCAGACGCGTGCTGATTCCTGAAACCTCTAGGCCACCTAAGGTTGGTTGCAGCGTTGCT